GACATGGGGGGATGGGATGCGGGCACAGCTCACTCCGGCTGGTGGGGTGCAAGTGGAAGCAGGGCAGAGCCCCTGTTCCCAGCACTGCTGCACTCACATCCCATGCCCTGCCACACTGGCTGGCAAGCAGCAGCAGCACAGAGCCCCTGCTCCCAGCTGTTCTGTGCCCACATCAGCGCTGAGAGCGGGGATTCTGTGCTGCCATTGCTTGCCAGCCAGCATGGCAGAGCATGGGATGCAGGCGTGGCAGCACTGAGCACAGGGTCTTTGCCCTGCTGCCAGTTGCCCCCTTCCACCCAGAGAGAGCTACACCTGCATTCTGCCCACCTCTCCTCTCCAGCTGGGCAAGCAGCAGCAGGGCATAGCCCCTGCTCCGAGTGCTGCTGAGCCCACATCCTGTGGCCCCCCTGCCCCAGCTAGGCAGCTTGTCCCAGCCTCAGCCTCAATCCCTCCCTCCCCCATGCCCCTTTCCTTCTCCCCTTCCCCAACCCCAACAGACTTGTCAGCTGTCTGTTTAGTCTATGGCTGAACTGCCGAATCTTTTCCGAATTGATTTGGATGCTTCGAATCGATTCGGAGCTTTTAATTGGTCTCCTGATTCGATTCAGAGATTTGGTCCCTGAACTGGGCTGAATCTCCTCCAAATCGAATCGGCTACCAAAGCTTCACACAGCCCTAGCAGGCAGCACTGTAAAGTTCAAAGAATTTATAAGAGAAACAGTGTAAAAAAGTTCTCCATCTCAAAATCTGGGAATACACCAGGGATGGCCAACCTGTGATAAGTGCCATGAGCAACCTCTGTGTGTGGCATACAGCATATCAGGGAGGGGACAAGAAGCACAGTAGCAGATAGGGCAGAAAGCACAGCATGAGATGGGGCAGAAAGCACAGGGGAGGGAGCTGAAAGCAGATCCACAGATAGCTTTCTGCTTCCTGCCCTGTGCTCCGCACCCAGAGCTGTAGATCAGACAGAGGAAAGGGATTGGAGTGGTACTTGGGGAGGGTGCAACACTAACCTGTTAGGCCTGCCTGCCAAAAAGGTTGTCCCCCACTGGAGCAGGCAAAGCTATCCAAATTGAAGCAGTTCTTGCTGTGGAACTGCCTGGAGTTTTCAGATCTGTGCAATGCTCACTGCATAGAAATCTTTCAAGCTACAATGTTACGACCAACCTCAGACAAGTTCATCTGGATAAGCCTCATTATAATGGAGTTTAACTGAAAGGAGCAGCCCAGATTGCCCAGTTTGATTACAATCCAAGTAGAGGGATAAAAATAGATGCAACAAGCACACACTGAGTAGTGATGTTTGAAACCACCTCCTCAAGCAGCTGGTGCACCAAGGGTATGATGTGCTTAGTCACTGAGAAGTGATGCCCCCTGCCAGGTTGTGATTTGACATGAAGAAGCAACTACATAAGAAATCACATGCTGGAGGCTGACTGTTAGCAACGTTCAACAGGAAGGACTTGCAGTCAGTCAGGTTTGTCCTCGTCATCATCATCATCAAGGGCAGAGTGTCTCAGGGACTTAGAGTTATCATTCAAACAACATAGTATAGAAATAGAATATAACCCCCCTCCCCACAGGCATTTGAATAATGTAATATACCAATTCTGTACAGAGATAGCTGCTTACATCCTCCACCTCTTCTTTGGGTTCTCGTCGGGCAACGATAACTTCAGATTTCACCCTAGAAGGCAGAAGAAGAAATTAAACAAACCAACAAGTAACATGCTGGCATCTGTTGCTGGACTGAAAGACCTACACAGAAAAGGTGTAAAGAAGTACATCATATTTTCACCACTTTGAAACTGTGAGCAATATGTCCAAGCCCCCATGGGCCTTCTGAAGTTCCTACTCAAGCTGATGAATACCTTACTCTGCAAATATTGCTGAAGTATTGCTGCAATCCACTGAAAATGAACAGTAGAGAGAGGTACTTATTTGGCTTTGTACAACTGGGACATTCCTTCATTGCACTTTGTGAACATGTCACACAATGCACACATGCCAAAGGGATGATGTCTAGCAGTTTAGACTCAGAATTCAGGAGCTAGTTCAAAAAAGCTTGATAAAATAACGTACATTTTCATTTTATAGTTCAAGGCTAAATCACACTTTAAGATGTTGCTCTGCTAGCTTTGCAAAAGTTATACTGAAGTATTGGCCTCAACACTGAAGTATTGGGCATAAGTTGCAGAAAGGAAAACTGACCAAAATAACGTTGAAACCAATCAACTTTCATTGTACCTCTTAAGTGACAAAAGAAAAGCAAAAACCCAGCATAAAGCAAACTGCATTTGAGTTCTTTAGATAAAGTGCTTCAGTTTTAATAATCTAAAGGGCCATAGCAAGATATGGAAAAAAATGTATTGTCCCAACAGGGACATATGTCAGCAATAGAGGACAGGCAATAGCTGCATTAACCCCAATGGCTGCCGCTGCTACTTCTGGATCTAGCCTGTGTGAAGGCCCACAGCCTAAGTCCGGCCCCAGAGGAGAAGCAAATGTAACACCCCTGCATTATAACAATATATACCAAATACTAACAAATAGTGTATGTGTGTGCGGAAGTGTGTGCATGAACAGACATACATACATATAACACTAACAATACTAAATACTAACAAATCTAAATTCTGTATTTGGTAACCAATTCATATCCTAGGAAAATAACAAGATCTGCAATATTCCCCGGGACATCACAATACAGTCTTGGGATTTACCTACCCACCCATTATGAAACCATTAAATAGGACACATAACCTGAGCTACCACCCTGGGTTAGCTTAAGAAAAAGTAGCCTCTTAAAATTCATAGCACATATATGTCTAAGGGTGGATGCTAACACTATTATCCCACATCAACAACACTGATATGGTAGTAAAGAAATAGGCCTACTATAGTTTCAGGTTATGGAGAGCACATTTTTCTCTCCAACTGCACCAGTGAGACCCCCACTTCTCTTCAATCTCTGATATTTGAAAGGGCTCAGATGTTACTTTCAGCCCAGAATTGCAAAGATATCAACCATTCCTGTCCCACAGCACTGGGACAGTCAGTTTCTATTTTACAGAGAGACAATCTAGAGCAAAAAAAAAATGCAGCTATTACCAAAAAAACCCCCAACCCCAAGCCTTCTATTTGACTGATTATTAAAGAAACAGCAGCACTTCACAATTAAACACCAATACACGATCAGCCAGTCCAACCTCTGGATGCTTAAGAGGGACAGCATATGAACAGGGTATATCTAGAGTGATCTATCTCCTGTCATACCCTCCCTGGCATCCACCATTATTGGTTTAGAAGGTGCCAGAGGATACATCCCTGGCCATTCTATTTAGTAACCAGTAATAGATCTATCAGCCCTGAATTTGTCTGGTCCCTTTCTGAACCTGGCTATACTCTGCCTCCACCACCTCCTGTGGTGGTGAGTTCTGTAAGTTAACTGTGCACTACATAAAAAAGTACTTTCACTTGTTAGTTGTAAACCTGTCTCCTGCTAATTTCAGTGGGTGTCCCAAGTTCTAGTATTCTGTGACTGGGTAAATAACAGTTCCCTATTCACTCTGTCCATCCCCCTCATGATTTTATAAACTTCTATTATATCCCCCTGCAACCTTCTCTTTTCCAAACTGAAGAGTTCTAGCCTTTTTACTCTCTCCTGGCATGGCAGCTGTTTCATTACCCTGATCATCTTGGTTGCCCTTCTCTGTACCTTTTTCTAATTCTGCTACATCCCTTTTGAGATGTGGAAACCAGAACTATGCACACTGGTTGCACATAGTTGTGAGAACTTCAGAAAGCTGACCTGTAACCTCTACAGACTCACTTTCTTTCAAGAAAGTGAAAACTGAAATTCTGAAGAAAAAGACCACAGACTTAAGGAAGTGGTGGTCCAGTGTATGAGCATGTAACAAGCCATTTCCATACCCTGGCTCTCATGCACTTGCATGGAGTTCAAGGAGGCTTGGTTACAATCACTGATGGGGAATGTTAAAATCCTGACAAAATATTTTCTTATTTTTAAAAACTCAAGGAAACATTTAAACTCAATGTTTGAAAGAATGTACTTACTTATATCTAAGCTACCTGAATTTTTCCTTTCAAATGGTCTACCAAGTGTCTTTGAATTGCAATACTAAACCCCATGAGGGAAAATAATTAAACTGACAGATAAACTGTATAAGTGAGTTTTCTGTGGTGCTTCTTTGAATCAGTCTCAAGTTGGGAAGCTGTTTGGGGCAGTGAGCATGGCTCTCACCTCTTAAGTTCCTCTTCTAGTTCCTTGACTCTGTTCTCCATCTTTGCTTTGGCTTGCTTTGTTGCTTCAAGCTCCCCCTTCAGCACTTCCTGCTCTCCAGACAGCTGGTCCACCTTGGCGATCAAGTCATTCTTCACAACATTCAAAGCATTTCTTAAAAAGTGAAAGGAACAGTAAACTGAGATGCACATAGCGCAGCAACTATCTGCAATAGAAAGCTGAGACAACAGTCACCCAGCGGCAAGGAGGTGCTAAGTAAGAGCTTCGGGGAAAATAATTAAATATAGTGATTGGGGGGGGTGGCGGCTCTCAGAGCCTCTGAAAGCTGCTCTAATTAATGTGTCCTCCTCCCCCCCAGCACGTGTATAGACACTCAATAAGTCTAATTGTAATCTCTAATAGATATTGGTTTAACACCTGAAGAATGAAGCCCAATACCATGCCACAATTTTTTTTTAATCAGTAAATTCTGATAGCTCAAATATTTTTGATATCCAAAATTCTTAGCTTAAGTAACTTCCTGGGACAATGAGTTCAACAGTTTTTGATCCATGACAGTATTTTTCCATTCATCCTATGACTTTTTGACTTCTTTAATGGCCTTTTTACAGGACCTTGTCACAGACTTTTTAAAGTTCAAATCAATTAGATCAACAGATTTGCTTTTATCCACTATTCTATCCACACATTCAAAACATTCTAAGAGATTAGTGAGACACACTTTCCCATTGCAAAAGGTAAATCTTGCAACTAAGCCTTCACAAATGATATCTTGAAGATCCCTTATGCCGCTTGTGGGTCAGATCCAGCTCACGCTGAAGTTAACGCAAAGCCTGCCATGGACTTCAAGCAGGGTTTGACCCTATAAGCAGATGTGCTGAGTTCAATCAAGCATCTGCATAAAAGAAACAGGCAGGAATGTCTCTCAGACACACAACACCTCTTTCACAAGCTAACACCATCATAAATAATTTGTCAAACCAGATATTAGCAAGCCCCAACAAGGCAGAACTTCTGGCCTGGAATTATTCCAAAATAAGAGGATATTTAAAAAACAGACAAGCAGTTCAGAATTTGAAAGTTTCTTACTTGGTCTCCAGAAGCTGAGAGTTTTCCAACAGCAGATTCCCCACTTCTTTGCCCATTCCTGAAAAAAGAGGCCAGGCATTTTTTATTTGCACCTTCAGAAAAATTACCCCTCCTGATGTGCTGATTGACTCATGCTTAGCAGGAGAAATACATTTTATTAGATAGTTCTACACCTATGCATCCTGCTGCAGACAGCAGAATACCTCATGCTGAACTAACAGCAGCAGAGATGTCCAAGTGCCTTTTCTATAAAGGACATTAATGCAGACCTTGCCACTTAACCAAATGTACACAAGCTTCCTTGAGTGGGATGGGCAAAAGAAATAGCTCTTCTAAAGTTGGTTAGGGGAAGCTGGGTCTAAGACTTCTACTCTAACCCTCAGACACAGCAACAGTTCTTTACAGTAGTTTCTACAGAGGAAACTAGAAGCTCAGGGATTCTTAGTTTTCACAGAAATTATAGCAAGGCAGAGTGCTTTCCAAACTATGACCCATCACTGGATATCATAAGATTTTTGTTTTTCTTAACAGATATGTCCAAAGTACAGACTTGAAACCAAGAGTAAGAAAGTCTCTACATTTAAATTATAGTCAGAACATTGAAGGTCCAAACTTAATAGCATATCAGTCAGGTCTTTTTACATTCATGTGAGTAGGTTAATGAACAAACCCAACTGCAATGTTTGACATTTTTCATTAGACAAACCCAATTTTTCATTTAATTCACTTTTATAGTAAAAGAATGAATGACACACACTTGAAATCAATGGCATTTAGCAAAACATGATAGGACACACAAAGTGAGAACAGATTACAACACTCCCACACACAGATCCTCTTCCCACAGTTAGATGGGATGGGTTTATGATGGCAAAAGCAAATTCCCAGCAAGAATGGACAAGAAGCAGCATTTTTATATATATATATATATATATATATATATATTTAAAACTCAATAGACAGGAAATTAGTCACTTTGATGTTTCAGGCAACGTGTTATCTGGGTGCTGTGTCAGGGATTACTGCAAATACCTAAGAAGTAGCAGATAAAAACTCTCAGCTGGATGCAAACCAATTAAAAATATTTTTTTAGTGGTGGGAGGAGGGAGGGAACACATAAAGAGAAAAAGCTTTCTTTTTTCTTAGAGATGACTACACATGTGGTATATGCTAGTGGGAACTACACATATGGTATGCACGGAGCTCAGAGCTCATGAAGCATATGACTGGTCATAAATTACATCTTCATTCTACAGGTTTTTAAGCAATAAATCAAGTTAAATATGTATCTAACAATGTTCCAGAAACAGAGGACATAATAGGCATCTACATGTGGTCCGGGGGGACAGGGGGCATCTTAATTAGAGCAGCTCTTGGGAGCCACTTTAATTAAAGTGTCTGTAGTGTCACATATATTCAGTGTCCTCTGCTTCAAAATGGCTTGTATGACAAGGTTTAGGTAAAGCACCCCTGCCACCATTTTGAAGTATGGGGACACTGAATACACAAGATACTGAGGCTGCTGGAGCGTGCTAATTAGCATGCTCCAGCAGACTTGATTAATCAAGTCTGCTCCAACATGCTGTAATTACAGTGTGTCTGAGCAGATGTCCCACATGTCTACAGGCACCCAATGGGCAGACTGCTCATCTCTAGGCTCTCCTTTGGACTAATTCATCCTCCATTTTGGTTTCTTTGTACTGGTACCATGACACACAACATCTTCTATACAGAAATGAACTGTATTGTGGAGGGCAAGCCTGTCATTGCCAAATAAGAAGCTCCACAATGCCAGGGATATCTTCCTGAGAGCTATCATTTTATGTCATTTTAGCACAATGGAAACTAAGGGTTGCTTTAACCCAGGAATGATACAAATGGCTGTTTATGGGAACAGAAAAATGAAAAGAAAGTTCCCACAGCAATTGAGTTGCCATTTCTGAGAAACACCTCAACCAAGTGCACCATGTAGGGGAACACTGAGATGTTCATAGTGGGACAGTCCTGTCTACATAAAGAAAGTTGCAAATAAAGGGAAACATTTTAAAATCTATTCCTAGTATGCAACCAAAAGGAAAGAAAAGTCTGGGAAGAGCCATGTTTTACATGCTAATCCCAGACAGAGAGTGTGAAGCATCAAAGTGGATAATCTACTATACCCAGATACAGAAGATAATCCCCCAAACCACAGAAATGGAACAACTTTCTCCTGCTTCTCAAAGAGGTGACACCACCACCACAAAAAACCAAAACCAAGGAAACTCAAGACACATGGAGAGATGTCAGGTGGATAGGAGGAGTTTAAAAGAAGTATGTTTAAAAGTGGCCTTTGCCTTACCAAAGAAATCATCCCGCACTATGAGAGCCATCCCATACGGAAGGGGAAACAGAACGAGTTGGGGAAGAGGTAGGGGGGAGAAAGGAAGAGAAAAAAAGCAGCCATTAAGTACCAGTCTGTAAACAGCAAACAGAGCAGCTCATTAGTGTGCATGGGTATGTGTGCAATGTGGCTGCATATATTGTGATGCTTAGTTGGAGTAAATCTGTTGTGTTCTCCTAAAGCCTGGCCTAATGGGGATTTAAGCCTGAGATTTATGAACAAGCTCAGTGCAAGGTTCTGTTTCACCTCCCACTTCATTGTCTTAATTTATTCCGATCTTTGGGCCTCCCATGACTAGGACAGAGGTAACTAAACAGACAGTATGGATAGAGTGAGGAAAAGACAGGGGGTGAAGAAAACTAAAAGGAGGAAAACATCACAGGTTATGTCTGGGGTGTCCTTGCTCTTTGTACATCTAGCCAAATCTATTTTCTTGCCTAAGAAAATTCCCATTAACTTCAGTGAGGGTTTTCCAAAGGAGAGACCTTAGGATTTGGTCTCGAATAGGTGAATGATAAACAAATATCTGAACTAAAGGAAAAGGAGATGCATAATGGTCTCCCTTTACTTTGTAAAATTCAATAAGCACCTCACAGATCCAATCCTTAGAAATACTGAATATCCTCAGTTCTCACTGAAGTCAACTAGATACTCAGCATTTCATAGGATTATGTTCACAGGACTATCTTTCAACACACTGATGTCTGCATAAGAAAACTGCCATGAGATAGCTGGCAAAGACCTGATCCAACTTGCACTGAAGTCAAGAGAAAAACTCCTATTGGCTTAAATGGGAACTGGATCAGGACTTAACTGCATTTTAAGAAAAGGGGAAAATTCTGCATGTTTAGGCCTCCTGGCAACTTCTGATGACAGAGTGGGGCTCTATGGTGGCAAGTCTCTTCTACACACACACAAAAATATAAAAGGAAGGCACAGAGATACCATCTTCAAACTATCCTGCCAAGAGAACAAGCCTTCCATAAAAAGCAGATTTGCCACTTTCTAATCCATCTAGGAAGAAACAAGCAATCTACTACCTTGCTGCTGTTCTGGAGGAGGGGAAACATGCATTACCCAAGTCTATATCAGGTGTTGAATAAGCAGACAGATTCCTCAAAACTTCATTCATGTAAGGGAAGGAGAAGAACCTAAACTAGATTTCTGTGCACACCTGGAATGGACTTGGGGTGCACAGAACCTGACAAAAGGTTCCTTCTCTGACAAAAAGGAACTTTCCATCCCAGAGTAAAGGGAAAGACACAGCAAGGTTTCCCCAAGGTCCTTAAGAGACAAGTCAATGTAGAGAGTAGAGTGAACCTGCAGACAGCCACAAAAAAAAGTTTACCAAAATGTAGCAGGCATGTAAGCATAAAGCAGAGATGTCCTATTGTGTTGGGACCTATCAGTGCAAGGCAACCAAACAAGGAAAGGGCAGGACAAAGTCCGCAAAGCCAACTGTGATTGGACAACAGTAGGGGAGTATCACATGTGTATACCACATCATTCAATCTAAACTCAACAAGGAAAAGAAAAAGAAGCAAACAAGGAAACTGAACAGAGGAGAGATACACACCTGAGAACTCCCCTATGGGCCATGTCCAGCGAAGCACAGAGAGACAGGGGAAAAAGGAAGTGAAAAAAGGATCAATCAGTGACTGAAAACAACAAAATAAAAATTTTGTTTAAAAAAAATTAACAATGACTCAGCCATTTCAATGTCAAAAGGCATGAAATAGTAAGGACAGGACCTGCCATGACTGCAGATGGCATGATTCTACATACAGGACAGAAAAAAATTGAGGAAAGATAACCTGCAGTGCAACTGGAACCACATGGCTTAGCTAGCCTCAGTTTTTCAGACCAAAATTTGAGGTCACATCTTCCTAGACTAGATGAACTTCAGTTTCCCTGTGACATGTTCCATTTAAAACTGCAGGACAAAAGCTAGCTCCCATGTCCCTCTCATCCTCCAGCCCCACATCAAGGAATGATATATTTGTTTTTAACAACCATATTTTATAGTAAAAACAGGCACATTTGAAAGATCTCTCAACTTGAAAAGACAATCAGTTGCGTTTAATATAGTCTTTGTATCCCAACACTGAGACTGTGTTTGGTTTAAACTGCTGTGATGACAAATGAACTACATAAAACTTACCGCAAAAGTGGCTGAATTTCTCTCTTCATCACAAACCCCCTTTTATGTGAAGGGAGGTTTTAACCTCCAAAGCAAATACAGCCACGTCACCTAGAAGTGAAAGGAAGCTCCTTCCCATAGCCCCAAACCATCATCCCTTTGTCATTCACCCTTCAGTGCCAGATTCTTATAGGACAGTCAGAACAAGAGGAGGGTGAGTGGGGAGGGCTATTTCCAGAACAGGTACAGAAGGAACACAGGATTAAAAAGTGAACAAGCAGAACAAAAGAGGAATGATACTGATGGGACAAAATGTTCATATGATTTTTAAGATTTAACAGGAAGAAGATCATGCTACTACTTCTACAGATTGTAGTTTTATCAGTGATGCTCAGGATTTTTAGGACCTGTGGGTAGGGGGAAAAATGTATAATCAGCCTTTGGTCCATAAGAGAAAGCATTGTCCATAAGAGAAGCAAAGGCCTTTTAAAAATCATAATTAATTAGATACAAGAAAATGAGTTTGACAGTATTTTCAGGAAACTGATATGCCATTTTCCTAAGCCTATTAGGAAATCCAGGAAAGCTTCCCCTACCCAAATGGTCTACCATCACTATTATAGTTTTGTAACTGCAGACTATATCCATTCTTCAGTTACAGATGAGCCCTACCAGTTCTGCTGCTCTAGTCAGAGCCAGAAAATTGTCCAGGCGCATAATTGGTGAAAAGTTGGCAACTGAAACAAAACAAAAAAATCTATCCCAGGATGCTTGAGATGACACACTTTAAAATGCCTTTCTTGGTACTATGATGTAGTGAACTGGCTATGTAAGGTGGACAAACAAAAGCTTTTGCAGAGTTTCAGAATTCTTTCTTGGTGGCATATCCATGCTCCTGTTTGATCTATAGGAAGGGTAAATCTTTCCATAGGAAGAACAGACATTCAGGACAGGGAAATGTAAAACAAGAGTCTACTTTGGAACACTATTTTATTTGACATAGCATAGCGTAGCACTTTTTAAGCAAGTCAAATGGGAGAGGTGTGCACACACCCATGCATGTTTGTTTATACATTTTCTACTACGTATGTCATTTAAATTACTGTACTGAAGCCAAGGGATTTCCTTGCAGTTGGACTCTCAGTGCTTTTGTAAAATGGGTTTTCCTTTTGTAGAGCATATTCTAAGTGTTTCATCCTTTACATTAGGCTGCTGCTTCTGTAGTCTCCCTACTAACTGAAGAACTGAGCAACTCCATGCTCACTTACAGTGTGAGTTGACTGCAAGACCTACTCACAGAAAGAACAACCTACAAACAATGCAAGTGAACATGCTGGTCCCAAATAACAACACTTCAAGTGCAGGGGAGCCAGGAGATATTCTGGTACATATCTGTTTTTGAATTCACTGAAGAGGAGTAAATAGAAACATCAGTTCCAAGCAAAAGAGGCTCAGAGATTAAAAAATCTTCCTTTTGGCCATTTCAGTAAGCAACAAGAAGAAAAAGAAAACACAGTCTTTGGTAAAGATTTGAAAAGAAGTAGTTTATGAAGAATTTGCCCATGAAACCGATTTCAAGATGGAAAAGTTTTCACAGCCTTTCTTCCAGAGTCATGATCATTGAATGCTGCACAACAAACAATTACAAGATGGTGTTATGGTTTTGTGGCTAACATTGTTTCAACCAGGTAGAAGAGGTACATGCAGCAAACTGACTTGATGCATTAGATGGTTACTCTAGAAGCATGGATAATTAAGTACTGACTTAACTCTCAAATGGAATTTGATTATCAAAACATAATCAAGTGGTTGCTGATCAATAAAACCACCATGCTATTTATCACAGTTGAAATATTCCACACAAGGGATGCCCCCCAAATAAAACAGAGCAAAGTCTATTCTAAATTTCAATCATAGGTCAGGACTGAGGTGCTGAGTTGTATGGAGAAAACTTGTACAATGCTAGCAGTTGTGGCTTTTGGGTAACTGGACATTTGCTGAAAAGAAAAATCTGATTACCTTCACCAAGTCTTAATATTAACAGAAGTTTCCAAAGGTACATTAAAAATAAATTGGACCTGGATTCACTAAGAATTCAGGGCTCAATCAAAAAGTATAAAGTAGAAATCCCATGCCTTATGATCTTCCTGCATCACCACTGTATAAGCCACTCCAGTCTCCCATCTCTAGCATACTTGTTGATTACTTGTACTTACCAATACTTCCAAATAATACCAAAAAAAACCCCACAGGCCAAAAATTGCAAATTGATTCCGAGTGCTCGACCTGAGATGCATTAAACCGATTATCAGAGTGAAATGCCTGAGATTCAGACCTTAATCAATGGGAATCAAAATTCTACATTGACAAGATGTGAGGGGGAATGTGCTGTTCTGAATGATCCATAAGCTGAGTTTGCCTTTTCCTAATCGATACATATTTCCTACTGTCCCATAGGTTTTGGTGGCAAGTAGAAAGCCAGAAATACTAAGCAGCAATCCACACTGAAAATACTTGTGATTGCTTGCAAATTGCCACACAAAAGGCCAAGCAGTCCCATGGACAAGGGAAGCACATGGGGACAAGGACACAACAGATGGACAACAGCAAGATTCTCAATCACCACAGTTGTTTGACTCTTCCAAGAAGACTGTAGCCAACAGTTTATGCCAAGGTGACTATCCAAAGTACATGCTGGAGCAGGGAGATGAAGCTCTAACATCCAAGGACAGTTTTTACTAACGGCTCCTTCACTCTGAGTAGCAGCGTCACATCTTCTACAACAATGAACAACGGCACTCCTGAGACGGTCAGAATTTGTGCTCTGTACATCAGCAGACTTGTTCTTCCATAAGAACTGATACACACAACTATTTTAGGCATCTGCATAGGTGTTGCCTCCAGCCACATGAAATGAAAACCAAGTCTCTCATTAACGAGGTGCTGTTTTCACCCAGGGAATTTTCCCAACTTCTTGTCCCATCCTGAATTGGAGTGTAACCAAGCAATTCATCAAGTCTCCTGACAACCGCCAGCATTTTCATGATTTGCTTCTATGGATTCAACTGCAGCTCTTGCGAGTGTTGTAGAATCAGTACCAGGCTTTGGAAGGGTTTAACTTTCAGTTTTCACCAAACAGCCAGGGCAAATGAAACCCCACGATAGTTTGAGTCTTGCTTACTCTGGGATCTCTCACATCCCAAATATGTTAATTTCACACAATTACTTATAATAATATAGCTTTAAGTTTGAAGACAATACACATGCTAAAAAAACAGGAAATAAAAGCTGAAGCTGTTTCTCCAGCCTTACCTCCTTTTTACTGTGGTTAGGTGCTGTAGTACTAAACGATCAACTATGCAGCAAAATGTCCTCAAAGGTCTCAGAATGTCTAAATGCAAGGCTTATTATCTATTCCAGTCAAAAGTGATTTAAACATCTTATTTTATTTTTGCAGAAATGGCCTGCTGCAATTTTGCAACAAGAATAGGAACTGGCTCAGTTGAATCTACATCCACAAGTGCACTGGTGAAAACTATTTTTAGCACCAGTTAGGATGCAACCAATAAGCCTTTGTCATTTTCCCACTCACAAGAAACCACCAGAAAGAAAATATGTTTCCTCCAAACTCCATGCTCTTGCCACTCAGACCACTGAAGGCATTTTGGGAGGGTCCTCTTACATCTCAAATTAGTGAAGAGCTCCTTAAATCAAGCCATTGAAATCTGGAAGTAGGACATGTAGCTATAAACTCTAATTTTTCATGTCTGTACTACATAAGTATTCACTAGGGCCCTGAGTCAGGAAAGCATCCCTGTTTGGCAAGGTTCTTAAGTACATTCTTCCATCTGATTAACTTCACTGAGACTTTGGCACAGCTTAAATGTTGTCATTAATTGGGCCTAAGCCAGTAGCCTAACTAGGGCAGGGAGACTGGGGAAGTTGCCCCAGGTCCTGACTGGGGGGGAAATGGGGGAAACTGCTATTACCACAACCACACAATTGCACCAGCACCATGGCAGCAACCAGAATTTCCCCCTGCTCTTGTGTGTTGTAACTTCCCCTGCACCAGGCTACATTGTTATTCCTCTGGGCTAACCACCCAAGGACCTACCCAAGCAGGCATTAGGCTTCCTCTGCAGTCTGATGTATAGTATCTTTTTTGGTGGTTCCAAAGTCTTGCTCAGGCATCTCAGGGGATTTGGCAAGATCAGGATAGTGTAAACCCCTTTTCAAGATTGGCTTAAAAAGTGTCCTGCATTCTGCTTAAACTATAGTAGAGTAAAAGACATGATACGGGAAATCATGTTCCTGTAGATCAACTGAGATACATTTATTTAAGTCTTTATAAGTTAGTTACTTCCTTGCTGAACAGTGGGGCTATTTTCAAACCTAGATCACTCCTCCCCACAAAAAAATCACAATATCATTCTAAATGAATTTACAAGTGTCTGCAAAGTTATTGCTGGTAGAACAGAAGGGAATATATGTGTTTTACAGAGAGTTTCTACAGGAGAATCATATGCAAAAGCAAACTTACATGCACAAATACAGTCCCAACATTTCAGGGGCCCCAAGTATTTGAATGAAAATTGCATCATCATTATTATTATTATTATATTTCATTCATGAATTGTCTCAAATTCAATCCTTTTTTAATTTTTATATATAAAGTTTCATATATATAAAAATTCAAATTTTATATGAATTTTGGATCCTATATATATATAATTTTTTCTATTCCCATTTCAGTTTTAACACAGAACTACAGGAGAACAGAACTGGTATAAATATCTTTTACCTAGCAAGTCTGCTCCTTCATCCACATCCCCAATGACCTCAGATCCTGCTGTGGAAAGCTCATGATACAGAGAGTCTGTGTTGATGCCAAAAGCTTTGTTTACAATCCCCTGTGTTGGGCTGTTATTGGAAAAATAAAAAGAAGGAATCTTGTTACTTGGGAACATTCTACTTTTGCATTATTGAACAACATAGGTCACTGAAGTCAAAACACTGCAAGTTTTCCCAACCTTATAGGTTTGAGCTAGTGGACATATTAGGTAATGGAAAAATATTTAAGAACAAGTACCCTTAAGGTCTCAAGTATAAATGGTACCACTGCTGTAATGAGCACAATAGCCATAACTCAGACCAAAAAGTTAACTTGAAATTCCTTTACAAATCCTATTACATTATATCTATCATATAACAGAAAGCTTCCTAAAACAGGAACACCTAAGTCTGATCTCTGAGCCCATTTATTGAATTCTAAATGTGATCATTCTAGACAACTGAGAGGTGCTTGTTACAGAAGTGAAGACAGATAAGGAGTCAGAAACAGAAACAATGCTAATCTCTTTTTACTTTCCCAACCAGGAGAAGTTAGACTGCACATGCTGTTCTGTTCTTTCTGAGAGTTCTGAGTATATACGGACACATGTAAAAAAGTTGTTTAAGAAGAGATAAATCAAAAAAGAGATGGCTTTACCCTTTAAGAAGCCTGTGGTGTCTTTGGGCTCATTCAGGAGCAAGTTTTAGAGTCTTGGGTCTGAGGTCTCTGAAAGTTGTCTCCTAGACCCACAACTCCATTTCTAATTGTTGATAATTTCATGGTTCCGATTAGAACACGAATTTTGGGGAAGGCTGCAGTCATGGAGGAAGAGGCAAACTCTCAGGGAGTCACAGCCAACCGCAAAGGCTGGTATGAATATGGGGATATATTGGGTGGTGTGTTTACACTTTCCTGCATTGATAACAGACAAGTCATCATGTTCAGCACTACTGGAGCTTATCTCAAGTTGTGTAGCCTCATTCCTAGACATTAAATTCCAATAATCGAGCCAGGAGTTTGCATGGCTGGCTATTTCAAACAGGATGGGGAACAATATGATTACCAGATGCAAAGAGAAGTGAATGCATTTTGTTTTGTTTTGTTTTAACCTATATCAGTGGTTTTCAACCTTTTCTCATTTGTGGACCCCTACAAAATCTTGAATGGAGGTGCAGACCCCTCTGAATTGTAAATGTGGGTATTCATATACATTTGATTGATCATAGCCATCTTTTGTGATGCCCTTAGACATAATCTGTGGACTCCAGGGGTCCACAGACTGAAAACCATTGACCTACATAGTTACACGGACATCCAATATCCCCAAGGCATAAAAAATGGACACCAAGGCTGTGGACCGACATATTCTGAGGCACATGCTCTCTCTAGTGAGCATTAACAAACAGCAAGAAGCAAGTGGCATTTAAATTGCCCTGTGGCCAAGCTTTGATTGGACTGGATTACTTTTGGTAATCTCAATTTAAGGAAGCATTATGTATTCCAAAAGTACACCTGTTACAAAGGCTGGACAGCACAAGAGTCCATGACTCAGTGATCCCAGAACCAGTTTACGCCTCTTCCCAGCAGCTTTGTTTTCCCTGTTGGTTCACAAACTATTTTGATTAAATGGTTCTCGGCCTGTAGCGGTATCCTCTGTCCATCTCCTCTCACATTCAGGCATATTACTCTTGATCTCATCAGTCACTCGCACAATAACCTCCCACATGACTAACTCTGCTATTCTGTCTCCTCCTCCTGCTGTCTTCAGAAAATCAAACATGCGTCTCTCACATTCTGGCCATGCTGTAGTAAAAGGAAATCTTGCTTCTTATTCCCACAGCTTTTTGATAACAAATTTGCCTTGTGTTGCCATTCATACATACCTTCTAACTTATTCCATGCCTAGTAAAAGCAGCACACCAAAGTAAAGGGCCCTTAGGTAGCCTCCCAACTTTAGGAGGAATTGTTATTAAAAACAACAAAGCAAAAAGCCCACTCATTTTCTGGGGGTCAGAAAGGCTTTAACATTGAGAAAATGTTGTATTTTGAAACTTAATTGGGGATTGACCTTTTACTAGACACATGACATTTTCTCTTTCCTCCTACTGAAGCCTAACAGCCCATTTCTCTTTATTCTGTCTTCTATCTTTATCCTGAGGCCTTCCTCTCTTCTGGCCCAGTAAGGCAAACTGTACTGTTTAAAACCCAGTACCATAACTAAGGGTGGGCAAGGGGGACACAAGCCTCAGGCATTGATTAAGACAGGGAGCACTGACACCAAATCTGGGGGATGTTGGATGGGTGTAGTTATGCTGCTAGTTCAGCAGCTACAGACATGAACTTTGTGGAGATGAAACAGAGTGGGGCATTGGTGTCAGGAGGCTCTCAGGTCCTGCCAGCTAAGTACTTGGGGAAAAGAAGCAGGGGGTGAAGACAGGGAGGGGGCCCTGCTTCTGAATAAGGGGTTTTATTTCTTTGCTCAGCATATCATGCAGTAGTGTCTTTGGGGAGCAGATGAGAGGCTTAACTCCTTAGCTGGAAGTTTAACATCTTTCCCCATAGCTGCCAGGAACCTAGAGCTCCCAGGGCCCCTTTGTCTCCTTCACCTCTCTGCCAAGCTGGAGCCCACCACTACTGGGACCCAGAAGCCCCCCTACCTTAACTCCCCAGGGCCCTGGACATCATCCAGAGCCTCAGATACACCCCTGAGTGCCCCCCCACCACACACACACACACTTTGATCACGTGGAAAAGGGAAGTCCCTGCACCTCTGCTAAAGCCAGTCTCATTCTAGGTCACCTGGATGTGGCTTCTAAGACATTATCAGCTTGTGCTGTTTTTCCCATGATAACTCAGGAATTTCATATCTCCCCTGTGCATCAGGCAAAAAAACCCAGAAATCCTATTATTTCTCATAAACCCGTGCCTCCCCCTCATTAGTGTGCACCATATTTCTATACAGCACTAACTATACAAGTAATGAAACACAAATAGAAGACAAAAGTCAATACCTGTTTCCAGTGCGCTCCAGTCTGGGATCCTGACACATATCCAGCTCTGGAGTAGAGTCTATGATGTCCTGAACATCAGACCACTCATCACTGCTGCCCATTCCTACAGAACATACCACACATTTGAGAGACTGACTCAGAAGAACAATAGGCCAACCCGTGGTCCACTTGAGGGACAGTGTTCTTTAAGTCTAAATGGTTTTGCAAGATCAGGCTGCAAACTCTCAAGAGCTCTAAGCCTCATGGTATGGTACAGTGTGTCAAAAAAACAGAAAGCAAATGGCTACTTGGGAAGTCGCACATATACTAAGGTTGGGAAGTTGCATTCTAAAATTCCATGGCAAGGATAGAAGTGACCTAAGTCTCCTGTGGGAACACCAAGTGCCCACACTAGTGTTTTTTGATATAAAACATTAAAAAATTAATTCCAGAATGTGCCCTTTGCCTTTTAGCAAAACCCATCTCTCCTTATGCAACATTGTAAGAGGCATAAGAACATATACTAATTTACTAATTTATTTTTTTACATAAAGATTATTAAAGCTATAAATAATGACAATCATTTTAACAGAAATGATTTGACTATAGAGATTCTTGCACTTACATCTGATTTAAATGTTAATTATAGTGAACTGCATTTGGAAATAGCAATCCATAGACATACAATCTAATCTATTTCTAATATGATCCATGACCTGGGGTCATCATTAGATGAAGAAAGGAGTAGGAAATTCCCAGTAATTTATGAAGCTGTATGGATTACAAATGAAGCTAAACTATTCAAACATGCAGCCTTGAAGTTTTCCCATGAAGGTAGGCCCCACCGAGGGGCCAGGGTTTGCCCATGCAGATATCCCTGCAGAACTAAGCCCCAAATTACAAAGTGCATTAAAATCCTAAATGCATCAGATCTGCCTGCTAAACACACCCTGCATGTAGTATATGCATGATGACTTGAATGTATATTTCATTGCTTCAGGCCAGTTTTGTGCAACCCTTGGTAACGCATGTCAGGTTTCAACACAAAGATTGGTGTGTATTCACTGCCAGAATGGGGCTCCTTATACCAAACATTCTCAAGTTTGTGGAAGCAAAGGATTTCTTAGCTTTCATTCTTGAAAAAAAAACTGGGGAAGCTTCTTCCAGATACTAAAACTGATCATGATTTTGTGTGAACATGGGCTTGTATGTTCTGTTTTGATGTGCTTGCATCACTGGTACCTGCATGCATCTGAAGTTTAACTGTATAGGATACATAACATAATAATCTTACTTTATGTCATGTAGTTTTAACCCCAGTATTGAAAACTGCTCTGATGCTGTATTGTAGAGGATATGTGACAAAAACCTGAGAGGTTGAATATACAGAGATTGTAACAAAAGCTTTGGCTATCAAGTTTAATCAGGGTTCCTAAAAAAGGTGTTCAGAACCATTCAGAAAATGTAAGCTCATGCTGAAGGACCGAGTTTGAGCTCTGAAGGCCAAATTCACCCCTAATATCTTCAGCAGAGGAACAGTTGAAAGTAATGCTCCTCAACTTCAAGTTATACATATTCAATATACCACAAAGTCTGCCCTCAGTTATATGTTAGCTTCAAATGGAGTTATACCCACACACAAGAGCAGATTTGGGCCCCAGAAGGCGAAAGTAAAATGGCTGCAAAGCAATAGTTTTAAGTCATTGTACTGACAACTATTTAAAGTGTTTTAGAGCTGCAGGTCTCTGAACCCTAATGCCTCCCTTATGGAATACAACCTATTTTGGAGAAAATACTGTACAACAAATTTATTCCTGATATAAAACCATTATCACCACTGGAATTACCCAGCAACAAATTTCGTTTTGTCTGTCTCTTACTAATTCCCTCCAGTGGTCTTCAGTTCCCAGCCTCTGACGACCTGCAGAGGATGGTGGTGGGGACTGGATGTAGCATAGATGGTGTCCATTCTCTCCAATGCTGATGCTTACTGACCTGGCCTGACCAACATCATGAAAGAGTTACTGGCTAGTTAGTAACTAACACCCAGTAAGAGAGTCCTGCTTTGAAGTACTACATTGCCCTCTGCCAGCCAGAGGTCTGTGATTCTGACAACAACCTGATTACTAATATAATGAGAAAATGGGACTTGAGCCCTGGCATCCTCGCTCAAAGGCCACAGCAGAAAAGGTTATTGTTTTCTGGTTTCAATTTGTCAGGAACTCATTTAGGCACTGTATGAAAATTCCTCTTGGTCAGGTATAATAAACTTCAGCGGAAGGATGGTCCAGTGATTTGGGTGATAGCCTAGGGCTCTCGAGGCCTGGGTTCATTTTTAGTCTTCACAGCAGACCTTTCTAGGTCTCCTGATCAAGTCTCCGATCTGTAAAACAATCCATTCCCTGCACCCTAGGAATGTTGTGAAGATAACACATTACAGAAACTATGGGGTGCTCAGATGCTTCGGTAATGGGAGACAAGCAAGTACCACAGACATATACTAAAGTGGCTGCTGTGATGGCATTACAGCTATTTTTGTATTCATTTAGTATGGAGGCACAGGGCATTGGTTTTGGCTTCCCTTGCCTAAAGTTGTGGGTTCAAGTCCTAATGGGGCTTTGGGAACTGGAGTAAAAATAGTTTTCAAGAGAGGGAAGGGCCTTTTACATGAGAGAAAACCAAAAGAATTTGGCTTGTTTAACCTAGCAAAACAAATGCTGGGAGGGGATATGATCATTATTTACAAATATATTTAGGAAGGTAAATGCAAGGGAAAGAAAAGAATTAAGTAAGCCAAAGGACAATGTTGGCACAAGAACAAATGGGTATGAACTGGCTGTGAATCCGTTTAGTATGGAAAGAAGATGAAGGTTGCTAAACATCACAGAAGAGAGATTCTGGAACAACCTTTCAATAAGACTAGAGGAAACAAAAGCCTAACAGGTTTTAAGATGGAGCTTGATTAGTTTGAGAGGGATTTTATGAAGTAGGGGACAATATCAGGGAACTGAACTCAGTGACCTGGGAAGTCCCTTTCAATTCTATGTTCCTATATTCTTATGGAAATATAACTATAGTTTTATTTTACAGAAAACAGCCAATATGAGCACAGCCCTGTCTCCAAGTACAAGTGGGCAGGTCCCTAACTACCCTCTCACAACCCTGCTTCCAATGCTACTCTGCTCAATTATTCCTTTTTAGTACCCCACACCTCTTCCAGTAACTGACTTCACAATATCCATGTATATCAATTATTCAAACAGTTGTGCAACAGCCTGACTAGCCGAGTACATACACATCGGAATACGCCTGCCATACCTATGCTGACATTTCTCATCTCCTGGGTGACCTGGACTTCCATGTTCCGGCTATTCCGTTTCTCCCGCGCTCTCTTACTGTTCTTGCCCGTGCCATTGTAGTCACTGATGGGCTGGATGCTCTCATTCAGGGGTGTGACAGCAGCAGAGGGCACAGATGAAGTTGGCGTGTTGGACTTTGTTCCAGTGGTGCTCGGTGTGGCTGCTGCAGAAGACTGCCCAGATTCAGACATTTCATCTTGTGGGCACTGTGATAATACAGATGGGGAAGAACACAGAAAGGGAAAAGCACAGCTGTGTGTGTCAGTTAATTTCTCATTTACTGACCTGATGGTTGCCTTGTAGCATTATGGGAAATGAGTGCCAAGCACTAAACACCCAGGGCTCACTGTGCATGCTTGGCACTGCCACCACAACTGAAGAGCAAGGTCTTGAGCTGAACTCAGTTATCCTACCTGGTCAAAAACTTACTCCTTCACTACTAATCCCCATATTCCTTCAATATTTAGGGGGCTTACCAAGTCTTCAGATGTCAAATCAGATATGAATTCTCCTCACAATCTCCTATTTTAACAAATGTGGCCCAACTGTCAAAGGTGAAAAGCACCTGCAGCACTCATTGGATTCAGAGGGATTTTTGAGTGCTTGGTACTTCTAAAAAAAAATCAGGCCAACAGTTTCCAGATGCCCAGTGCAAGAGGGAGAAGACAGTCATTTCTGGACATTGCATTAGGCAGTATATGAAGTGGTCCCATAAAAGCTCTGGCTCTGTCACTGGTGGGTCAATGCATCCATTGTAGGGCACACAGAGCTTTGTTTAATATCTTTCTAATGCTGCCACTTCATTTGAAAGCACAGGGAAGTATTTTTGAGCCTAGGTAGCAGAAGCAAAGTGGAAACCAAGCTGAAATGGTTTTATTTTGCTGGACGGGAAGAATGACATGGCTGGATCATCTCATCTAGAAGCTAGCCAGGCATGAACCCAAAGTGACACAGAATACAGCCAAAGGTGGGACTCAGGTGTTAAAAAAAAAAAAATCAAAAGATGTTATAAAGAAATTCATGAGAGGTATATCAAACTTGAAATGTACACCAACAAGTCTCTGGTATGTATATACATGGCAGTGTCATTCCTCATAGTACCACATCCTAAAAAACACAGGAAGCTTTTAAAAATGCCCGAGGATTTGATGCTGTTCTTCCTGCTTTCCCTTTAAGGAAACACTGCTTCAGATTTAGCAATTCATCTTCTACCCAAACTGAAGTGAAATCCATTGGCAAAGTGTATAACTATTTACTGCCCAGCCCACCTTAGGCATTGCCTGAAAGGGGGTGACAAAATCAATGTCTAGAATTATACATTACAGTGTTTTGCAACTGAGTGAAAAAGTCATTGATGTCTATACCCCAGCTTACTAAATATAGCTGTTTCTGGTTACTTCCTCTCTCATTTGCAGCTGCTGGACAGTTTCTGCATCCACTCAGTTTACTAATGACTCTTTTGAGGCTATCTTAGGCCTCACAATCTTGGAGCTGTGATGCTGTGTGTACTTCAGTGATTTGCACATTTGTGTTCTTTATAACACAGCAAAAGAAGTCAAAATGGGATGGGAATGAAGACTGTGAAAAAAATGGGAACTCAACCCTTTGCAGCCATGCATTTGTTAAGAACCATCTGACCCCTTATTCCATACTGCTTTAGTTTAAAATAGCTTGTCCAAGTGGATGCCTTTCTTGCAATCCTATCTGGAATCCTAAGGTCCAACTGAAGCAGATATTGATATGGAGAATTTTTACCATAATGCTGCAATCAAATTTTATTCACTTCTTTGCTTGCTGTTTTATCTTGTGAGCCAAAACAAATGCACCTATGTCTTTCATTTATATGCGTATACCATCATGCTGGACATTGCACATCTAACTGCTGAAATGAGCATCAAAATTATTACATGGACATGAATTTAAGGTTATTTTCCATATATACTTTCCTAGGACAAAGTATCACATCAAAGGTTTCCAGAAGAAATCCAGCACCTAGGACTTATATTTGATGACAACTGACTACCGCACTCTAAAGGCCATAGAGCCAAGGGGCTAATTCATAGTATTATTCAATGTGAAAAGTAAATTAAAAAAACAAAACAAAACAAAACCAAGGTATGGCAGCATTATGTAATGTGTACACACACACACACACACACACACACACACAACCTATCACCCTTCTCAATAACAAAAATCTCTAAGGATTTCAAAGCACTAAATGGACACCCACATCAATCCATGATTTATTACTTCTTCAAAGGAGCTACAGGACATTTGGAAACACTATGTTACCATCACCTATGGAATAATGCCCATATCTCCTATCTCTCTAAAGAGTGTGCTTCATAAACTCCTGCTTATTGTTACAGTCCTCATTTTACCCACAACATATCTTGAAATTACTACCAGGGTCTTCAACTTCCCCTTGGTTATGCTTCTTAACTTTCTGCATATGGAATATCCTCCATAGCCTCCCAGTCCATTTTGTGTATGTCCACTCCCAAACCTTTAGATACTGTTGACGTATTCCTCCAATCTTCCAGGAACTCTTATAGACAGGTTGCTGATATATTCATTCTACTCTACTAAGAGCTCTATTAGTGCCATATATCTCCTTAACTCACCAGCCATCCTCCATTATTCAGGAAGTCATCTCTATAACCCACCACTTACCAAAAGGATGCTCTCCACAACCACCACTTACCTACAAGCCATACCTGTCAACCTCCTAAACATCAAATGTGGGGCAGAGACCTCCAAAATGCATTGTAAAGGCCCAAAAGTCATAGCAGTCACCATGAGTAGTCACAATTGTATGGGTATCACACTGAAAACACAGTACATAAAAACAAAAACCATTAAAGAACTCATCTCTGATGCACGAAATATGATATATGTAAAAAACAAACAAACCCCAAACCCCAAAAACAAACATTAAAAGCCCTAGTATATTTACAAAAAATAGAATTAAAAAAATAAATGAAATTATGTAAGAAACTTAACTACACATAAGATTCTCAGAGGAAGAAACCTGAACCTGTTCAGCCTCCACAAGAGAAGGCTGAGGGGGGATCTAGTGGCCTGTTACAAACTAGTCAGAGGGGACCAGCAGGCATTGGGGGAGTCCCTGTTCCCCCAAGCACTACCAGGAGTGACTAGAAATAATGGTCACAAGCTGGCAGAGGGTAGATTCAGACTAGACATCAGGAGGCGCTACTTCACTGTCAGGGCGGCTAGGATCTGGAACCAACTTCCGAGAGAAGTGGTGCTGGCTCCTACCCTGGGGGTCTTTAAGAGGAGGCTGCATGAACACCTTGCTGGGGTCGTTTGACCCCAGTACTTTTTCCTGCCATGGCAGGGGGTCGGACTTGATGATCTGTCAAGGTCCCTTCTGACCCTACCAGCTATGAAACTAGTCTGGAACACCAGGAAGAAAAATGCCAGGAAAGTGAGCTGCAAGTGCATCCAATATCCTCCATACACTGAAGGGGCTTAGCATGCCATTGAAGAAGGTCACAGCAAGATACCAGCAGTACTGCTATGCTTTTCAGTGGCTGAGCAAAGATGCTTGTGAAATAATGCCTCAGTCAGAGAGAACCGCCTTACAGAGAACAACTGAGACCCTTATATGAAGGGCTACTTTCATCACAACCTGTTAACCAATATCTTCTACTGTATAACACCTACTCATGCCATATTTTTCACGCGCCACAAACTATTCACAGGATCATATCTGCACTCCTTAAGAAATTTACCCTTAAATTTCTTACACACTAAAGGTTTCCATAACCCTACTAAACTCCATCCCCTACAAGATTATCTCCTTATAGATATGCCCAGGCCTTTCTTTAACAAACACTAACTATCAATCCCAGCAGTACCTTGGAAAGTCCCACAGCTGAGCACTACCAGTGCTGACCAAGTTTTATATTTATTATAGATTTTTTTGCCCATTACAAGCATCAACAAATTGCAAAGAAAGGCAGCACACTGCAGAATTCAAGTCTTTTAATTTTCTTTGGATTCCTGTTGAATTTTCTTGCCATGCTGAGTGAATTATTGATAAACTGTAGGTAGCTATTAGTAAGAAGCTTGTAATCTCTCCCTCTCAGCATACAGGTTAAAGAACTGGCCTCACTCATTCTATAAATGTGAAAAATAGATCCAGTCCCATCGTTCTCATAGCATCCCCCTGCAAAAGAAACACTATATAGAACTGATCCATTGAGAGAGATTTTGGTTCCATCTGCACCAGGGGAATGCAACATCACAGCAACAAACAGGACATACAAGCACTGGCTGTGAACTGTGTCTTTGCAGCAAAGCCATAATGCAAATCAGCTGGCAGAAAGATGCTTGTGCCACATCTACAAGCCTCCAACCCTGATCGTACCAGTGCAATGTGGGACTCTTACCCTAAGGGCAGACAAAATATGGCCCATGGGCCAGATCTGGCCCACCCAGCATTTTCATCCAGCTCACGGTCCTGCTTGACAAATTGCACCCCGCCCAGCCCTTCCATCCACGAGGGTGGAAGTGAGGCACCCACATGTACACATACCCCCAAACATACCCTATTGCACCTCGCTCCCACCCCCTGTGCACAGAAGGGTCCGGCCCAGTCAGCACACAGGTTCTGGGCAGGGCTGCTGCTGCCACTGCTGCAGCCACCGGGGACCTGCTCTGCTTCCACGGTCTCCTGCTGGCTCTGGGCAGCAGGTAGGGAAGCAGCAGGGCAGGGCCAGGACAGAGCTGCAGCTGGGCAGGAGCACAGAGCTTGAGGCTGGTGGGCAGCTTGGGTGAGGAGTGTGGGGACCCCCCCCGACTCTCTTCATGGTGCGTAGCCCTGGCAGGTGGTGGCAGCGGCAGCAGCAGCAGCAGGTGGGAGCACTCAGGGCATTCATGGCTGGTGCAAGCACTTGGTGGGGCACAGCAAGAGGCACAGCCTCCACTGGGCTGTCTGTATCACTGGCACTCCCTTCCTGTGCCGTGCGAGTGCAGGAAGTCCTGCATACTGGAGCTGGCTGTCTTCCCTGACAGGGCTGCATGACATGGGAGGGAAGCCCCAGACACCTTCCCTTTGGGGGCGGGGAAGGCAGCCAGCTCCAGCACATGGGGCTTCCCTCCTGTGCCTGGCAAGTGCCGGGAGTGCTGGCAATATGGTGGCCCAGTAGGGGGTTGTGCTCCTCGCTGCAATGTGCAGTGCTGGGCAGAGCTGCGCCCCACCAGGCACCAGAGCCCTGAGCACTCCCACCTGCTGCTGCTGCACCATGGGGGGAGTGTGGGGGCCCCCACATCCCCACACCCTCTACTCCCCACAAACACCAAACACTCACACCCTGCCCCCACAACCTCCCACATATACACAAACCCCTCACATACCCTATGCCCCCATACACACAGCCACACCCCCTCACACCCCACCATACACATACACCTTCACCCATACCCCACCACACACACACCCCCACCCATACCCCATCACACACATCCCCCCCCCACACACCTGCACCCTACCATACACACACACACTATACAAGACCAAGACTTAATTTTTGAGTTATTATGCAATATCCCTTATATACAGTATGCAAACACAAATCATGATAGACATTTTTTTTCTAATAGAATTAAAATATGTTCTAGTAGGTGTTCGACTTTTAGTATGATTTGGTTTTTTTCTGGTTCTAATCAAGTTTCCCTCCAAGCTGCATGTGTACGTGGCCATGCCCAATTTAATACCATGCCGTGCACTAACTTATTAATGCTGCACACCCACCCAGAGAGGAGCTGGGCTGTGGCACGGCAAGGCGAGGCAGGGGCTGGCATGGGCTCTGCTGGCGCTGGGGAACTGCTCTGCTGGATCAGTGCCGCTCCCCGCCTTTCAGCTGCTTTTACACCTCAGAGCTGGAGCTGCCTCCCCCCCAGCCCAGCCCACGCCTGCCCTGCATGCCCACCTGCGCCACCTTGTCCAGCAGTGCTCCCTGGCAGCCACAGGGAGTGGCGTGGGCAGAGCTGGAGGAGGGGCTGGGCCAGGCAGCCAGGAGCAGCCATGTCCTTCTGTACCTTCTTCAGCAGGGAGCATTACAGGGGCCACTTCGAGCCAGGTGAGCGGGGGGCACTGCCTGCAGGGCCCTGCTTCCCATAGGGGCTTGGGGCCCACAGGGTGCCCCTAATAGGGGCCTCACTGCCTATAGATGCCCCTGCCCCCTATAAAGAACCTGCTGCCCCAGCTTCCCCTGCAGGAGCCCCCACTGCCTAGAGGGTGTCCATGCTCTCTTATAGGTGGCCCCTGTGCCCCCATGGGAGCCGCACTGCCTATAGGGTGCCCCTGCCCCTCGTGGGGACCCTAACCCTGAGAATAATGCTGAGGATCCATTACATGAGGATTCTAGTCTATAAGGCTTAGCATAGTCTGGATCCAGACTTAGCCAAAGGAGGAGCGGGACCAAAGCGGTGCGCTCACAGACCAAAGCAGCGTGCTCACAGATCGCTACACCTTCAAAGATCCTGTAAAAAAATAACATGTTCTAAGATGGCAACCCCCGCTCCCAAAAGGAGTATTTCCGGGAGGCAAGGGAAGGGACTTCCAGTGGCAATGGTCAGGGGCTGGGGGGGACTTCCAGTCCCAAGATGGTGACCAGGGGCGGGGCAGCTGTCAAAAGGCGGGGCTACCCACACAGCCCTCAACAGCTCACCAAAACTAATTAAGTGACCCTCCAGCTGAAATAATTGCCCACCCTTGTCCTACCCTATGGCTCCCAGCATAGTTCTCCAGAGCAAGAAATCTCTGGAAAGGTTATGGGACCTGAATGGCACTGGGTGAACTAGGGCTAAGTCTAAAGGTTTTTTTGTATCTGTGTTACATTAACACACCCCTACCATTGAGCCAGCCAGGGCCCAGGCTCTGGTTATAAGAGAAAGCAGTGACCAGGTTCCACGAACTGTTTTGGTCCTTCCTGATGATCTGGGGATGTGTCCAGAGGCACCAGGCCGCCTTCACGCTGCCACAGGTGTGACAGCAGAGGGCTGACATCCTGGCCCCCCTGAATGGGCTCCAAGCCTGGTGTGAAGGTCTCTGCTGTGATGAACACTGTCACACCCATGTGGCAGCATTTGTCTTGTGCATTTTTTAAATTTGTTTACATTACTTCTGTTATCTGTTGCGGGCCCAATCCTGAAGAATACAGGCAGGCCAAAGTGCATCCGATTCCAACTGATGCTGGCTGAATAGCTGTATTTCTCTCTCTCTACCATGCTCTACCTTATTTTATTTTTTTTACAGGATTAGTAGTTATAAGCTTACAGGAGCATAGCAGCCCCCTTTTGGCCAGTTTAATGATATGATATTGGGCTTTGCTGCCATATCAGAGGATTAACATTAATTTTTAACACTGCGTTCAGTATAGATGGGGCATTTTATTATACATATTTCCACATATAGCTGGAATCAACTTCATGTCTAATAGAACTGGAATAATGGTGGGCATGTTCCAGGCACAGCTAAGTAAATGTCACAATTGCTACTTGGCTTGATGGAAAATGTGAAGCTACTTACTAGGGAAACAACATGCACAAATGCAAATAGGTGTCAGGTGGGGTTCTAGTTTCTTGGGGCTGACTGGTAGAGTTGAGAGGGACCAATTGCACCAATAGCTGTAATGCTGTGAGTTCAGCCCCGTAGGCTAAACAGTCAGTGACAATTATCAAGGCAATGGAAAGGCTTGCTCCAATGTGACAAAATACAGACAGCTGATCCAATGAGTACCTACATAGTTTGTGTGAGCATGGGAAGTATTTCTGATTTAAGGCATCAGGTACATCAGTAGGGCTGCCTGCACTCTTTTTGCCTAGTATAGATGGATCCAAAGACAAGAAGATTAAAACAGCAATGACTAGAAAGAGCAGAAGGCGAACACAAGCCAATGCAGAATAATGTCCAGACCCAGGTTCCTATGTAGGAGCAAAAGATAGATTCCACTACTTCCTCTAGCAAATGCTCCATGAACAGCATTGGTTCAAAAGTAGAGTGATTCCTAAATCTCTCCTCACATACTTCTATCCATCACAAACAAATCAAACTCATAGGGAATTAGAGAGAATTAATATTCAGACAAAAATCAGAAGGTGACAAGAAAGATGAGTGGCATGAAACCCAGCCTATACCCCATGTAAAACCTGTGAGTATCTTAAAGTCACCCTTTCCCTGTTCAGTTCAGTTATCAGAATGGATCAGATGTAGAAAAAAGAGAGGCTGCAAAGTGTTATGGACACATGTTGGTCTCTGTCTTTATGAAGATGTGGGATGCTATTGACAGTGGGAGAGTGGGAAACCCTTGTTCCATGATGGTCTAAAAAACCTTGTAGCTGGAGTTGGACTGCAGCTGGCCGAGGTCACTCAGGTGCCAGTGGTCCACTGTGGGGATGATCTTGGCCCCTATCTGCCCACGTACCATTCCATCTGCAAGGGGGAAGACGTTCAGAGAATTAGGACGCTCCTTCCTGCTAAACAGAGAGAAAGAGAAAAAGAGAGAGAGAGAAAAAACACAATCTGTTAGCAAAGCCATAGGGCCCTAGGATTGGAGGTACTATACATCTACCATTAATTACTAATATTTTACATGCTACAGAATTTGGGTTTTTACTTCTTCCCCTCTCTTCTCAAGAGCTGTATTTTCTCCCAAGTCCCATTTTTCCAAGGTGGAAGCAACTGACTGTGTGATCAAACCTGGGTTATCTAATGCTCATAATCTCTGCATTAAAAAGTTCTATCATAGTGCTCTACAGATAAAAGCTGCCCTACAAGGCCAATGATTCAAACTGGAATTCACTACCTTCAGGAGTCTTTCCTGGAACTACACTGTACCTTCCTGTGGCAATTCCATGGGGAAGGGTAAGAGGCCAGGAGACTCCATAAGGTTGAGTGGCTGCTCTGCCACCCCTCAGAGGGGAAAAGTCTTGTGCACTGGAGAAAGGAGTGAAGCACAGCCAGTCACTGGATACTGAAATCAGTATTTTTGTTTGAGAACCAGATGACCCAACTAGGGAATAAGGCCACAGTGAGCAAGTTCTTTGTTCCAAATACAGCAGAGCTGTTACCCCCTCATTTTCATGAGGTCCGCTCATGTGTCAATAGGGAGTTTGAGATGGGAAGGTCAGCTCCACTGTACCTTCTGCATCTCTCATCTCAGTCTGCCCCAACTACAGAAAGAGAGGAGACAGCTAGCCCTGGAATTCTCCCATATGATAAATCAAACTGGGTCATTTCAGGTGTTAAAACATAAAAGTGACAACCAACACATGTATTCCATTCTCTAATGTTTAGGATACAGTTTAGTATATTAATCAGTTGGAAAGGAAGTAGAATGAGGTCTCCCTCCTTGCCCTTCCTCCCCAATGGTTTGCAGATGCTTAGCTGGTGTTGGGAGCTCTGTCTGTGTGTACATATGCTGGCACAGATTTTGAGACTGAGCCCTCAAGGGACAACATCAGTGATGGAAGAGATTGCAACACCACAAAGGGCATTTATACACATGCTTCTGGGTGGGGGGAGGAGGGGAGTGCTTTAATTAAAGCAGCTCCAAGAGCAGCTGTAATTAAAGCGCCCGGAGCATCATAAGTATCAGTGTCCCCATGCTGAAAAATGGCAGCAGGGGCGCTTTAGCTAAAGCTCGTTCAATGAGCTTTAGTTAAAGCACCCCCACTGCCCTTTTTTAGCATGGGGATGCTGATACTCGTGACGCTGGAGTCTTCTGGAGTGCGATAATTATAACACTCCAGCGGACTCAATTAATTGAGTCTGCTCCAATGCACTGTAATCACAGCATGTCAGAGCAGCCTCATATCCATACGATTTCTCTCTGTGGCAGGGAAGCGTGACTGCAAAGGATGAAAACAGCCTGAAAAGGATGGGAGCCTGAAAGGTCAGATGTACTGATTTAGTAAATCCTCTTGGGAGTTTCTACTAGGAGGGCTAAAGTAGCACACCAGACACAAATTAAGGCTGAATCACTGTGCATCATGAGCCTATTAAGGAACACAGAGGTGATGCTGCTCTGGTCAAGCGGCTAACACAAATGAACGGTTAAGAGACCAGATAAGGAGACTAAAATGACTGACAAAACCCATACAAAGATATGAAAAGAAAATCATACACAACTGCATGGGCTTAGTGGGGTTAACACACCTGGAACCCCAGGGTAAGGGTTGTTTTTGCCTATCTGATACAAACACAGCTTTTCTCCAGCAGTCTTCATGCCGATAATGTGGAAGACTGCTCTTGTACTAAGGGAACATGTCCTCAGGGACCTAGCCAAGAGACCATTACAACCACTCTGCTTGTGACCTTGTGTAAAGTCACTGTAATGGAACCTGAGGCCCCTGAGAGCTGAGGAAATGCACTAATACAGGGATTGATGCAATAGCCAGCTTGTTTAAAGAGTTGGGGAGGGAAAGGACCTGGAAAAAGAGACTGAATACATTTGGGTAGCAAATTCAGAATGACGAGCCGTT